TTTCACAGCTGTTCTTTAAAGGAATTTTCCTCTACAATTTTTCCTTAAGTGTATTCAATGTTGTTTCTTGAAGACTTGTTTGTTCTTTCCAGCTGGTTTCCCTGATTGTATCCGTTCAAATGGAATTAGAGGAACATTAGGGTGCAACAGAGGCCCTGCTCAAAAGAAACACTGAAAGTTGAAGGACAGAGCTATTCTAATGTTGTCCCCAAGTCTAGCTGCTTCCTGCTGCGTAAGGGAATAATATTCCATTCAGTCTGCATAAATGAATTTAAACACGGCAGTTAAACAAACAAGGTAGGGGCTGATTCTGGGGGATGCTGTTTGGTAGGATACCTGTTCCAGTGCCTCATTGTATAGAAGCATTGGATTTTTTACATTGGTACTCCAATCTCAGGGTAAAGCATTACATCAGCAACACATTGAGGAATTGCACAGTTCTCCGCTGTATGTCACGCCTCTGTTAGTTTTACTCTCTCCATCTTCAACGACCGCCCCGATCTAACTGACTGCAGCACGCGGCGGTTCCGTGTCGGGGGTCAACGCCCACCGGAAGTAAACAAAGCAGCGTTGACTGCGTTAAAATATCTTACCGCATTAATCTCGGCCACAATAATCGCATATATATATTAACGCTTTCATTTTGATAAATGATCGGAAAACAATGTATTGTTGAATTGATAATGGGTTCCTGCCTAAACTGGACTTTTATTTATTTGATATTTGATTTAAATTACATTGCAGGCTTTTTGAGGATATCTGCCCAAAGATGCTGTGAGTTAACTGCTCGGCAGCCTTAATGCTGGCTTGTAATTGCTCCATCACCCATACTAATGTGCACTCTGTGCCCCTTTCAAAACAAAAACATTGCATTTCTCTTTTTTTCCCCATTGTGGACCTGATTGTCACTGCCTGAGCATCGCAGCCAATAGAGTGAGGTCTCTCAGATGCAGGGAACAGAGAAAACAATGTCATATTCATAAGCGGAGACAGCTCTGCTCCTCATTACCACCGCACAGTCATGAATGGAAGCTTCTGTCCCCACAATCATGAAAGGACCTGTCATCTGTCTGTTTCTCCTAATTGACTGTTTACTACATTTCAACACAGACAGACGGACACATTTTTCATCGTCCTCAGTTTGTCATTCAGTTTGACACCAAAGTACAGATCCCTTGGATAGAAATGTCCCAAGTTTCTACTTCCCATGTGACTCAAAGTGATAGCATGTCTCCGGCGGGCCACTCCACCGCAACCTTGACAGAACAACCTCATACGGTTTTTCACTTGAAGGTTCCACTATTAAGCGAGTGAACGAAAACCCACACAGTCGCCACCAAAGGGGATGTTTTTTGATATTGGGGATTGGAATCTTTTAGATGCTTCTTTTATTGTCTCACATGACCCTTTACAACTAACTTGTTTCTTTTAAAACTGACTGTGACTTAGAAGAACAAATTAAACAAAGCTATATTTGTCAATTCCCTCGGAGCAGCAAGGACCCTCTGTGCCCAACACCATTTCTAAGAAGCGTTTTCAAAAGAGAGCGTGAAGTTCGATCGTGGACTCACTAGCCCACTCTCTCCGTGCTCAGGCAGTGGTTTGAAAACCCACCATTTGCAGACAAGAACATCGCACACACACAGCAGCCATATTTAAAGCAGATGGAGCTTGAAGTCATCCCGAAGGTGTGATGTACTTTAGCGAACATGACTTTCTCTGTTTCATGTGATACCAGTGGCTTAAATCCTTTACACGCGTCGGCTCTCAATTCCCTCCTTTTCCAACTGTAAGATTAGCTGCCACCGGATAAAGTACTACCATGCATTATCTAGCAATTAGAGTGAAGCTTATTAAGCAGTTTAATGCAAATTTAATGAGCAATAAATTCAATTTCTTTAAATAGAAGAGTTTATTATTTTTACAAATGGTGTACTGTGGTGATCTCAGACACAGCGGCGATGAAATACTTTACAGGAGGGCACATATCAATAGGCCATTAAGTGAGCTATAAAATGTATTCTCAAACATTGTGCTTTACTGTAAGTGCTATTTCATGCAGATGGTGGAGAGAAGGACACATCCGTTTGCAACAGTGATAGTACTGAGGTTCAGACTGTAGTTCTGAGAAGAAGCCAAATCATTTAAGCCTCTTAGTGTTTGAGGGTCAAATTTTTCTAATGTGAGTAAAGTCAAGACATGCGATTTGATGGGGTCACCCTGGCTTTGGGAAGTCTTTCTTATTTTTATTTGATGACATTCTATAGATCAGATGACCAATCAATGAACAACAAATCTCCAGATAAATCCACAACAGAATAATCGTTAGTTACAGTCACAGTCAGTGATAGAATACACTGTAAGTACATTTAACCAAGTGCTGATTTAACGACAATACTGATGTACTCGCACTCGAATATACAGTACATGTGTTTCTTTTACATTACTATACGGTTACTCCCTCACATTTGGAAGGGAAATATCTGGTGTGTATCTACTTCATCTCGTAATTTGATGAATGCAATTACATTGACGAATAACATTTTAACACACTTGAACACAAAATGGTGCTTATATATTTATATAGTATTTTTTGCAGGGGGGTTTTGTAAAATATTTTCACCTGGATGTAAACACTTCCACTTGCACTCGATTATTTTATATTCAGAACTCAACAGAGGTATGAATATGGTTGGAAATGGTCTAGCGGTTGGGCCATCGGCAGGCCGTATAACACTTGATCTTTTATATGATACGCTGGTATGATAACTAGGGAAATCCGATAACACCAGAACACAACCTGAGACCAGAGCAGCACACTGCCGGCTGATTTCTGCGGCTTCCTTCTCGACGTCAAACGCCACCATAAGCAGCAGGAGACGGACATCTTCAATTACTCACCCTGTCACGTGCCAACTGGCTAACCAAGAGCACGGTAACAACTGTATGTTTCCTTCTGTTTCTCTGAGATCCCTTCACTGAGCGGCGCCTGGAGGCTTCATGACAGCTCGCATTGATCCACCTCACCATCACTCAGCTCTGACGAATGACTTGAAGCTGGCAATAAGTGGGATTATGCAACCTTTTGAAATGAGTCCATTTGATATGCTACAGCGTTCCGAGCCCCAGGAGACGCAGGGAGAGAAAATACTGCTAAACAGATTATTTGTTCAAATGTAAAAGTGTCCGTATTTCATAAACAGGACGCCCAGCCCAGGCAGCTCTTTAGATCTACGGCTCTTTGTGCAATTCTGTGGAAACAACTTTCTCTCAAGCAGGTCAGGGTCAGCTATCTTCCTTTAACACAGTCTACTTGCTATCGTTGCAACAAACGGAACACCAGTTGTGACAAGCAGCATCCAGTTAGTGAGGCTGTTTTCCCAACAGATACGAAGACAAAGTTCAAATCCATTGATTTTAGATTATTAACAAAGACAAATTGGAAGGCTGTCAAAAAGCAGACGTCAGCGCTTGAAAAAGCAGAGCTCGGGCCCTTTCCCCACTCCCAGCAGCCGGTACAAAGACAATAGGAACAAATGAAATGTCTGTCTTCGGATCATATGTTGTCTGGCTTGCATGGGGACTTTACCTGAACTATGAGAGCACCACTTTGCTGCTGTTGCTGCTGTACAAGCCTCGGTGCATTGAGCTCGGGGTGACTGCGCATTCACGGCGCATTATTTGATTTGCCTGCAGCGTATTTTACTTAACGTGACAAGGAGACGCAAGACAACAAAATACCATAATATATTCACTAACTGTGAGACGAAAGCATTTCAGTGAGCTTTTGGTAACGATTACCCTTTTTTTTTAAAGTCCTATAGCCTAACCGCGCACACAAACACATACACACAAAGAGGCTTTGTTGTGCAGACTAGTTGATGGGCGATGAAGAGGACATTGATCAACCAATGGCACTATCCGAGACAGACATGAAACAAATGAGAAGTAGACTTCAAGTGTGAACCTGCCATCGCAACTGTTGCTTGCCAGGGATTGACAAGACAACAGCACGTCCATCCCACCGCTGGGAGGCGGGTGAAGCGGCCGCAAGCCGACAATCATGACCGCGTTACATGCGCCAGTAATGTCATATGTTTTCCAGGAACAAAAAAACAACAACAACAGTGACGCATGCTACTCTAATGCGACCGCTGTGGTGGAATAAGGGTGGAAACGATCGGACCGTCGGGCTTCAATGCTTTTCACAGTTAGGAAGCTCTGGTTCATGCAGTTTAACCCTGTAAAATGAGGGGGGCGGAAGCCCCAGCAGCGACGGGGCAGATGTGCATCTCCAGCCTCAATGACATGCGGAGGAGAGAAGTGAAGACTGCGGACTGGAAGACACGCCGGGGATCCGAGAGGCTGCGGCCAGAGGACACTGCGAGATCAGAGCTGCAATGCGTGCTTTTGCTCCAGAGCGCACCTGAAGCGCAGCCTCGGGAGACTGTAGACCGCGCAGGAGCTGGGACCCGGAGGGGTTGACGAATAAAACGGCACGAGTGCGACCGAGCCGTGGTCTTAATTTTCATCATTAAAAAAAAAGATGAGGCACGTTTCACTATGAAACGCGTTCAACTTGCCCCGAACACGAAACGACCATTTCACTCGGTCGTCGCTGCGGATACTTTCTCTGTGTGCCAGCGCAATTGCGCGACGCCAACACTACTTTTTGTAGCACTCCTCTGCAGCTATACAACACGGGACGACACCCATTAAATCGGCGCTCAAATCACGTGATAAGTAGCCCAACATTGACGAAGAAGCTGCGGGGATGTTTCGGAGCCGATCATCGGTATCGCGGCGACGCAAAGTGATGCGGAGGTTCGAGGGGGGAAGCTTGTGCGCATCTAGCGCGCAAACGATCCACAACTTCTCCCCGGTACGCTCCTCTGGCTTTAGGCTGAGGTGAAAGGTTGGGAATTCTGCATCTCAGACACACGCACACGCAGACACACAAACGCGCAATACACCAAACAAATCACAAAAAAGAAACTTACCTTTCGGAAGAAACGCCACTGAAATCACGAAAAGTACGAGAGAAATAGCGAGAGATCCGCTCCCCGTGATCGCCATGTTGGACACCTGCTTGAGACTGGCGGCGCTAAATCACCTAGAGACGGCCATGGGATGGAAATGTAGACACATGAGAGGCGGAGGGAGGGCTCAAAGCAGGGAGCCTGCTGTCACGCTGGGCTGCGTTGTGTTGCAATGACATCCGTGCCGATAAAATGATGCAGGAATATCACGGTGGCATCTTAAATAACGTCAAAACCGGCGACACCCGTTCATATAGATTACCTCTAACAGCAAAGTCACACAGGAATGTTGGAGGGATATTACAGTGATACCATGGGAAGTGTAAAATACAATGGAGCGTGGTGAGGTAACCATAAACTCACCACCGAGAACCACGGACACTTTATAGGAACATTACAGTCATTTACTTTTATGGTTATAGTCTCTTAGTTCATGTGGCTGAGACCAACATATACTCATCTGGCTGCGCTCTGGTTTTTATAGCTGCAGCACAAATGAGATAAAACACCATTTATTTTATGTTTATTATACAGTAGGTCAGGTCGATAGTAAGTAAAAAAAACTACATTGGTTTACTAAAAGGACACAAATGTTGATGCTCTACCTTATTAAAGCCTGTTCAAACATAATACTGCACACACTGGCGTCCCTGCAGACTCTGGCAATCAATTAGAAGTAGACACATGCAGTGTTACTTTACATGTTACATTTAGTAAAATCCTAATAATATAAATAATAATAATAATTAAATAACATTAAGACTTTTTTTAGAAGAAATAAGTTTTTCTTTGATTAGTTGTTTGTTAATTGTCAGTCTGTAGTTCTTTTTATGTTATGAATATGTTAGAAGGATGAGCGTTACTCAGGAGAATGATAAATACAGTTTAGTCAAACCCCGGCTTTCAAGGTAATGTTTATGCCTACTCAAAGAGCACTCGCCCTGCTTTGAATGCTGCATTATTTGTTGTAGGAGACACTTAGTGCTGAAGAGGTGGCATGCCCCGTAAACATTGGGAAACAAAAAACACATTAGAATTCTGTACTTTAAAATCAGACTGTTTGAGTGGAAATAAAATATTGTAGATTATAAATAACCGTGACCGATTCAACTCCCTCTTCCACTCTCTCTCTGTGTGCGCGCTTTATTATATTTCGAAATGATTCAACCGTCATAAACTTTGTCTCACCTGAAACACTACTTTTGAAATATCTTATGGGAATCACAGGGCTACAGAGAACCACGCATGACAACGTTGAATCTCATTTCCCTCTTTCATTGTGTCAAAACAGCACAAAGGCTGCTAATTGCACAATCTATTCTCCGAGACTGCGTGTCAGTCCTCATTCCATGGATGAGTAGATAGCATTTAGAGCTTCACTCTAATGCTGCAGCCGTCCCTATCACTACAGATTGAATTCCCCACATCAAATTTATTTCAGATGTTATTATCTGTGGCAGCTTGCCAGTTCTGCCTGCCACTCACACAATGTCTCCACAAGGTGTTTTCCGCTCACAGCTCCAGTCGGGCTGCTTTACTTTCCGACAGCATAGACATTGGTCGGCATCGGTCTGCACCTGGTGGAAATGTGCTCAATAAGTTATATTTCCACATTTTGTATTTTTGTGGGATTTGTAACAATTAGATTTACTCTCCGCGTGATGGTTCATCCCAGTTCTGGAGCACTTAGGATATTTCACCACTCCCAACTTTTGTTTTCACTCTGCAGTGATTCACCCCATTTTTTGCATTGCATTGCTTTTACTCATGAGAATAGATGGGGTTCCTGGGTCTCTCTGAGAAGAGAAGCCCAGCGTCTCCACCTCCCAGAGTAGGATGAATAATTGATGGGAACGGATCAGATGACCGAACTGCTTCATCTGAATCCTCTGTAGTAATGGCCAAGCACAGATTCTCTGTATATTTCAGTGTTTGTTTCTGCTCAGTGTATCATACCAGAACCGGTCATGCAGCTTGCAAACGGTTAAGTAGTTCATTCCGACAATTCTTCATTTGAGCTAGTTGCACACTGAAAACTGGTGGTGCCATTTAATAAGGCAGCATTTTCTATTTAAATTAGTGAAGAAAGTGGTAATAAAAGATTTTCACCCAGGCCTCTTTCTCTGCTAATGTTTGATTAGAAATGCAATGGTTTTAAATTAAGATTTCTTTCCCCCTTGGTATGAAATCAATCAAATTAACAGAAATTGAATTATTTGAGATGGTAATCTATTTAGGCAAACCATTCACCATGAAAATGTTTTCCTCCTGTTGTGAATGGAAGAATAATTGAATTAGACCTTGGTAAGTGACCCCCAATGGATGAGCAAGAACCAGGCTTGTTGAAACACAATGTAGATTTTCTCATGCTTGGACCACATAAGTGAAGTATGTCAAATTTGAATTAATGCACCTACATTATATGTATGTACACATTATATTTTACATGTAGGTACAGGATAAAACTGAGGTCAGAATAATGGACTCCAATAATGTATGCAAAAGTCAACTTCATTTAGCACAACAGCATTTATTAAGTAGAATAGTACCAGTGCAAATTTCCATCTCTTTCCCCTCCGATAGCAAATTATTACAGGAAATGATATTCCAAATATATCACCAACGGTCATCAATTCTTTATGCCTTCCGGGGGTGAAACACGTGCACTCAATTGGTTTCTGGCCTCTTTTTTTGATACACCTACATTCATGTAGGACCCACTTGTAAATCACATGTATATATGTTCTCCAGAAAGAGAATCCTTTATGTGCTGCTAGTAAATGTCACAGATAATTGTAATGCTTTGAAAAACTTTCTCAATCAAATTTTGCTTATTTCACAAGTCGCATTGAGTTTGTACGTTTCCATGTGAATCGTCGTTTTGTGGTAAATTCAGATCACGTGGTTGTTGAAGGTAACCGACAGACCTGCATTAATACTGTATTTCGAACATATGCTAATTTGAAGCAACAGAATTTTTTCAAACCTCAATAATTAGGATACAGTGACGACATTAATCATTCTCTGTCTTTTCCCCAACAGACAAGGCGTAAATACTTAATTGTTCAACACATGCTTCACATTTTATCAGCCATGCACAGGAGATTTTTGCATTCTACCAAACCCACAGAGGCAGGTGATTGTAATAAATCATGATGAGTCACATGGTACCTCACAAACAGTTAATGGTAATATATTTGGCAAGGTATCGTGGATGTCAAGGTAGCTGGATGGGCCCGAATGGGCCTTTCTCGCCTCTGAAGAGAAATATTGTTTCGGTCCTCCAATGTGTATTCATCTAAACTCTGAAAGGCCGTCGGTTTTTGCATTTCTTTGGCCACTTCAACCCACTTTGGAGTTTGAAAAGATGATATTGACCCACTTCCAAGTGTTCAATATAATTCAACATATGCGGCATCTTGACTCTTAACGGGTACTCTAAGGCAGTGGTCCCCAACCACCGGGACGCGGACCGCTACCGGTCCGTGGGCCGTTTGGTACCGGGCCGCACCACGGAAAGAATATATTTCTTTTTTTCTCCTGAAAAATGTTTTATTTTGAAAATTGACCGGCTTTTCTTCTAATTATGTGCGCTTGTCCCTCTGACAGATTCCCCACGCGTCACCAGGCGTTTTTCTTCACGTTTACAATTGTCCTCTTACCGTGCACGGCAGTTTCGCCCACCAGCGAACACAGAGCGTGCGACTACTACTAAGGCACTTCACATAGTAAAATCAGAAACAATAGAAGGTATCGTAGACAAAAGGTCATATAGCAGTCACGAGAACATTGAAAACAGGAGGATATGTTGTGGTTTCTTGATGATTTTGGTGGATGTGTGGATGGATGTGAAGGCGCAGATGAATATTTCAGTGAAGTAAAGATGGGGCGTACGAGCAATGGTTTTTAAAGAAAGTGCTTTATGTAATTATGTACGACAAATAATGATAACAAGGTTACTGATGTGTGGAATTCTGAGACGGTCAGTTGCATCCAGGTCTTTATGAGGCAGTTGCTGATGGTGGAGAGCGAGATTGGGGTGATGGCGATGTACACCCGGGTGTTGTAAGCATAGCGGGGGAAATGGGATGGCGGCGTGTGTTGTCACCAAGGGGGAGCATGTAGAGGATGAAGAGAAAGGTGCCGAGAAAGAAACCTTGGCTATGAAGACAACGGCGGCCAGAGTTGAGTTTCTTGACATGGTAGAAATGGTTTATCCAGTTGGTTTTCAGTCCACGTCTACGTTTTGAGTACTTAAGACAGAAGATGGAGATTGAAGGTGGGTCCAACGTTGTGTGGTGTGTCAGGGTCGAGGCCATGTTTTTGGGATATAAATCCGACTTAGATGAGTTTGACGGAGGGATTGACCGAGCCAGTAGACGGGAAGGAGGAGAATTTGGGGAGTGACAAGTCAATGGGTGTGGGAGTTGATGTGTTGAGGGAAGTTTAAGCTTCTAAACTTGGAGTAGGACTATTTCACAGTCTGTGGGAAGTGAGATGGAGCAGGTAAAGAGTTCATATAGTTCAGAGGGGAAGGCAGGGTTTGGTTTCAGGTGTTCAAATGAGGATGTTATGTTGTTTTTATCTGCAGTAAAAAGCAGTAATTCCACGACTGCTGCATTAAGTCATGTTTTGACCAGGTAATGATATTTGGTAAAGGTGGTTTGGTGCATAGAGGTCCAGGTGTTTTTGACAGATGATAAAGGCTGTTGTCAGTAATTGATTCGTTGGTCATTGGGGTTTTTGTTTCAATCATGTATCCCTCAATTAGATACTGCAGGTCCTTCCCTCCTGCTGATGTCAGACAATGTTGTCCCAATTAAAACTGCAATATCAACATTGGGTGTTCAGTGATGTAAAATCAATTCTTTACTGCCGTGCATGTTCTTTTATGTTAGTTTTGCTTGTTTATACACACATACACATGTGTAGCCAAGGCAGGTTTATTTGTGTAGCACTTTGCATTGTATCGCATTTCAACAAAAAATCAATTCAGTCTTGCACATTGTACCATCAAAACCACCAAAACAAAAAGAAAGAAAATTTAAAAATCTTTAAGAAAATTGTTGATTAAAAAATCAAAAACCGACACTAAATAATAAAGAAGCTTACAATAGATTCACTATACTGTTTTTAAGGTTCACAACTTGGGGATTATGTCACAGGAAGCATTATTTACAAAAACATGGTCAAGGACAGGCAGGGTTTGCAACACAAACTAGTAGAAGGCAAGAGACAAGAGACGGCATCCAGAAAGGGTAATCGGGGTCGAAGGCTTGACCAGGAAACCACTAACTAGTTTGGCACAAAGGTCCTGCCACACTTGACAAATAGTACAAGACAAACTGGCGCGCAAACAACACAGTGCACACCCCTTAAGTACACAAGGGGAAGGGATGTTAATGAAACACAGGTGGACACAATCGGGAAGGGCAGCTGCTAAGGCTGGGAAGACATGAGGGAAGTGAACACACCTGAAACAAGGGGGACACATGGTGAGTGTAAATCAGAGTCATCAAATCGGAGTCATAATGAAAACTGAGATTTATAAAAAAAGAACCTGCTGAATTGACTTAATCTGGTTAAATTAAAAGCAGCAGCAAAGAGAAACGTCTTCAGTCTTAATTTGAAGCTGCCGGAATCTCGGCAGACCTGCAGCTCTCTGGGAATTTGTTCCAGATACGTGAAGCTGAAGAACTGGACGCTGCTTCTCCGTGTTCGGTTCTGACTGTGGGAACAAAGAGGATTTATTTACCTGTAGGAGTGCATAGAAACAGACACATCTTATATACAATGGTAATATGAAAAAGAAAAGCGCTAGATGTGCTGCTAGCTACACTCTAGTGGGATTATTAGCACAGCTGTAACACCTGGCTTAGAATAATTCTGCGCAGTAGACTACATTGCATAATCCAGATTTGTAGTCGCATAAAACTGCCCGTGACCATTTCTGCTGGGAAATCAATTGTAGCTTCCTGTCATTATCTCAGGGGCTGGAAGTGGCCGCAGTTTTTGGAGCTAGGGGCCTCAGTTGGTCTCCACGGTCCGTATGACCTCGGCCATGATGGGAAACGTCAGGTGGTCGCCGGATCAAAGAGGTAATTGGTTCTTTGAATTTAGAGCAGACACCACGTTTGGTGGGAAATCGTATATTTCTGGGTAATTGTATTACTTTACGCAAGAATGTTGGCCATTAGTATCATGTTGTGCAATGAAGGTTTAATCTAAAACCATATTTTCTGTGATTGATAGTAATAAAGCTTATTTATGTAACACATATTGAAACAAGCACCATAGGGTTTCACCAAGAAAGAAAAGAACAAAAGATAACAAATAATGCACACACACACACATGAAAATATCCAAACATGGTCTTTAAGCTACAAGTAGCCAACAGATCAGATCTAAAACAAACTAAATATTCTCGTCTTCTTGTGTCTATTCTTTGATGGCAACTGAAAACTGTCTGATTTGACAGATTTGAGTTTTCACCGGTCCGCGCTGCTGCTGCATCCTCCTTTATTGACATTACTAGGCCAAAAGCCTGTGCCTGTGATGTAGTAACACCATTACCCATATATAACCCTTTTTAATAACAAAAGCTATATCAAACAACGTTTTGTTATGTTCAAAAATCTTTAGGCTGGGACGAAGAACTTCAGCATTCGTTGAGTTATAATATAGTGTTTTTAATAAAAAATAGCTTTCACAGTCCCGTTTCCTCCAGCCCGAGGACCTCGAAACAAGGGCAGACACAAGTTTTATACATTTCAACACGAGGCGTAGTTAAATCCCATTGGTTAAACATGCTTACGTCTGACAGATTTAAACTGGGGCGTCGGTAGCTTTGGGTTGGTTAAGACTTGATGTAAATGCATCTTTTTTTTAGGCCGCCAACCCTTGGTTTTCTTTCTCATCCTCATATACATTCATGGGCATTTGCAAGTATGTTAATCAGTCTGAATAGTCCTCTCCTTTCAATTCAACGATATTATATAGTGACATCCCTACAGAAAGAATGCAGGACCTAGATCCCAGTTTACCCTTTATTGACCCTCCGATCCTTGACAAACACATGCTCAGTGACAGTCCAAGAGTCCAAGTCTCTGTGTTATCTCTCAAATAATCTGGAAATCCATATCTATGATAATTTGTGTTTTAGACCACTCATGAGATTATAATATATCATAAAACAATGTCAATCCTATTATGCAAATATAGGAAATATACAATATTTCCAAACTACTCTTCAGTTTCAAAGCCTACTGCAAAACCAACATCAAATTGGGGTGCAGTGTTGAAAAAGATTGCAGGGTGCTCTCATAATCTTGTAGATTAAGACACATTTGGCTATTGATTTGTCTGAACAATCCCTTATGCCAAGCATGTTTCTCTATCATACTGTACCTGCCGCAGTTTTCAGATGTACAATTCTTGATCGTGCTTCTGTGGGTGTCAATACAGGTTGAGACACTTAATATGAACAAAAAAAAGCAAAAATCATTCATTTATAAATGTTGTTTTTCACCATTCCAAAACCAACCTACCCCATATTTATCCAAGGTCTGTGCTGTTCATTTCCAATGATTACCCTGGAAAATACGCACCAAAGACCAACCGAGCAAGAATGAAGCCACAGAAAATCCAATAGAAATGCTTTAACCTTGACAGTGCATGCAGCAATCCTCTGTAATTCTATTAGATACACAAATTAGTTTCTAAGAGTATGCTTTCACACATCATAATAATTTCAATTTTCTGTTACTGAAGTCAAATAGATAGCACTATGGCTTAGGAACATCCAATAGCCTCATGATTTCTATCTATATCTATGTTTGATAAACCTGGTACCAATAATATCTTTCCGCCTATTTTAGAGAAGCTGTTTACTAGATTTTAAAAATATTCCTAAACAAATGAGGAAACATGCCACAGTTTTAGTTCCCCATAAACACACAAAGAAACAACAGAAATCCTTGTATTGCCTCCATTGAGGTAGATTTTGTGTAGATTTCATCTGCGGTTATTGAAGCACTATAGATGTCAGTCAAGTGTGGTTTTCACTGTTTTGTTTGATTTTGATATTTGTATTTTTCTACAAGGAGGCCTTCATATTGAAGTATGAGTTGATATCTACGAGATCATTTTTAAGTTTTAATGTGATGGTTTAATTAGTTACTGGTCTGTAAACTGCTAAGTGTCCTAGATGGTGTATGTCCTTGTTTTGACAATAGAACACTATGATGTATTGTGCTGTCTCTGTTGTGCTTAGCAGGCAAGAATTTCAGGAACATCTTCCATTGTGCTGAATTTCTTTGTCAAAAACTGTGTAAAAAATAAGATTGTTTTCATAAAACAAATTTTTTGACTTTCTTCTAAACAGACGCACAGTGATTTTTTTCATGTATCTAAATACTGTGTTGATACATTTAATGTAATGTACAACACATGTAGCACACATGCTTTTTCACACACTTAACCTCGCCCTAGAAACAGGCCAGTGACATTATTATTTCTGTCGGTAAATCGGCATGTGAAAAAAACAGAAAAGCAATTTGAATGTTTTTGCATGTGTAACATTTGTGTTTGTTTGAAAAGACTTCTCTTTACTTTGTGAAATCGGATGAGTGATACGAAGATGCAAAGGGAAATGAGAAGACAAAGACAACAAAAGTCCCCGGCCTTGAAGACCATCATACTAATTTTCATAGCACTTCAAGGCGCAGAGTATCTTTACACAACTCAGGAGTGTTGCAACATGAATGGTTGTTTTCTAATCAACGCACTCTCACAATCTCCGTTGCCTCCAAAGACAGAACTTTATTGGATTTTTATTATCATCACAGTATTATTTATTTTATTTTATATTATATTATTTCATCATTTTGTTACAAAAGTTGAGACATATTGAACTCAAGGTGATATCTCTGCAATTAAGATCATCAAACAATAACATAGTGGTGAGCAACGGGAATGAAAGGTAGCAAATCATACGGTTTGTTTGCCTTATGTTATTTTCATATTTATTTATTTATATTTTCTGATCAGGCCTTACAGAAGCTGGACTTTTCTGAGTTTATTTCAGAGTTTTAATTTGATGGTTTGATTAGATAGCTAGTGGCCTGTAAGCTTCTATGTGTGCTTTACAGTGTCCTAATTTGTGCATGTAAATGTTCATTGTCATGATAATAAAACACTGCGTGTATTGTGCGTGTATTGTTGCTGAAGACAAAGCATTTTAAATTCCAAAATCTTACTCGTTACAGAATATTTTTCATCCCCCGACGTGTACGCAAATTTACCCTGTGCATGATGACTATTAACGAGCCTCTGCGAAGAACTGGATCACGAACCACAACGAGTAACTAATACCAAAAAGTGCAACGCTACCATAATTACTATCAAAATGAAAACTTAATTGGACAGGAAATCATTTGTGAATTTTAAAAGAGGCCCCACATTAGGTACAGTATGATGAGGCAAAGCAATTGGTTTCATTAACTAATTTGCACACTGAATTATTCAAATAACAAGCAAGGGAGAATGATGCCTTGTGTTAATATGTGACCCTAATTTTCAAAATACTTCATTAGCAACATGCACTGTCCTGGTGTTTTGGCCGAGAGCTCATGACGTTTTTCATGTCAGCCAAATAAATACTTGTGAGACTTGTCTAAATAACATGATTTATAGTGCTCAAGGTTACAAAGCATGCTCATTGTTTGACTGAACGCACACTAATCATGCACTTTAAAAATGCTTTCTAGAGCTCAGCAGCAGAAATCATTACATGCTGTAATGAAGACACAAAGAATAGCATCTTTTAGAGCTTTAAAGGCAGCAGCTCACTAAACCTCTTCTGGGTTTAACTACAGACAACAAGTCCCTGTTCATCTGTTGGACATCAATATTACATCAACAAACATGCATCTTGGGACTTTTAGGGACACAATTACTGCACCACCATTTGTATAAAATGTCCTATTCAAGTCTTATTCAAGGCGCCACAAATTATTCTGCACAAGTCTCAAAGCAGTAAACCTCCTAAACACTTGATGGTTGTTCTACTCTACGTTTTGGTGAGAAACACTTTATTATAAATAAGAATGGTATAAAAAGCCATAATAAAGGGAGGTCATCCGCATTGGCATGGTGAGCCACTGGCCTCTGCTCTGCTCTCTCATCCTCACTGGCCTCCAGATACTCTCGTACCCATCCACAACCTGACCTTTGGTTTGATGTCTCCCAGCTGGAGGTCCAGTTGCTGGCTTTAAAGGCGAGATAGAGTAGCGCACGCTGCTGGCAGACATGCGTTGACTTTTCCTGTGAAAAGTAGGTATCCTTAAGGCCTACTTGATGGAGCTTTGTACATTTGTTCCGTTCAGTAATACTTTTCACATGGCCGAGCTCGATCAAATGCTTCAGTAGATCCATACCGATGAGGTCCTCCACACTGTTATGCCAAAGCCCTAGGTAAGTTGCCACGATCTTAAATTGAAAAATAAGTACAAAGACGGGCACTGAATTTGAATATATAACTGGTATAACTGGTGATATATCTTTCCAAAAAGAGCCAACCTGTGTTGCTTTAACATGAGAAGAAGCAGATGATGTACCACATTTCTAAATTTGGTTTAATGATACAACAAGAGAAAGTCTGTGGTATAATGCATTCTGGTCTATATTTCCTCTGTGTGAGACATCTCTGAGAAAAAATGTTGAAACCAACACTTGATTCTCTGCTGAAACATCTTCTGAACTGATTTGGCTGATTGTTGGCCAATTATGTGAGGTCTGCCTGAGAACTTGCCTTTAAATAGTGCTTTGTATAAGTCATTGTAGCTATCTACGTGTGATCGATGATCTGAGCAGTAAGTCAGAGGTTCATGCCCTAGCACAGTAGTTCCAAACCTTTTCTGTAACGGCCCCTCTCTCAGTAGATAGGGACATTGTAAGATATATACTGTATATATATATTCTTAAAAAATATTTTTTTCAAGTGAAATAATAAAATTGAAATTGGGAACTGTGCAACATGTCTTTTTCCTCTCTATCTCTCTCTCTCTCTCTCTCTCTCTCTCTCTCTCTCTCTCCTTCTCTCTTTCTCTCCCTCACTCTCCCGCTCTGCGGGGCCCTGGTTGGAGGGCATACAACGCACACAACGCATGTCAAGTCTTCATGCCGGTTTCGCTTTTGTTTTGTTTTGTTTTTCTCCTTGGTTTTGGTGATGAAGCCCGCCACGCCCCCTCTTTGGGAACCACTGCCTTAGCAGATTGATCTTGTCATCTTCACCAAAACACTAGACTACAATTAAACTATGCTGTCAAGTTAACGTCAAATTACTTTATTTTTAATTAAACTCAGAGAGAGAAAAATGTGCCGTGTATCTAAACTAGGGATTGGGTGCCAAGACAAATATAGCGTGTAACAAGAAAAGAATATCCACGTATTTGTCCACTTTTTTTAACATTACCCATGTTTATTATATGGCGCAAACCCTTGATGAGGGTTCACAAGTAAATATCACTTCATTTTAATGTAATTTAAAAAAAGTACGATTTTCTTTTGTCTCTCCTGGCATGAGTTGGATCAGAAAATTGCTGCCGTCCCAATGTCCCCAATATCTGCATGATGAATATAAAACTACGGCAAGTGGAAACAGTGTGCCCACCAGCACCTCCAACTCGCACAGATAAACAATCTTTTCAGTACACAAACAAAAAAAAGTGAAATGAAAGAACAAAGTTCTCTTTTTATCCTAAATTACGTTTATCGAATACTAGGTAATAATTACCGACAGGAGAGTGGTATCAATTCTGTCATCCAAGTCTCGGCAAGAAACAAATAAGTGTGTCTCCATAAATATCAAACCATAATGTGCAGTGATTGCAGATGAGATCCAGTAATAGGTTGTGTTCTTCTACAACTGTCAAGCAATCAATAATGTAAATAAATAATACTGATGTCATAATACTCATTATCCATAATACTAAATTAGTGCCACTCCAACCAAATTATTATACTTCCAAAGGTATATTCTTTATTGCTTTATTTATTGTTCCAATATATAATATATAATTTAATATTAATAAAATAATTTAAACAATGCTGCACATGTAACTGATCTGGAGCTATATTTCATGTAATAAAGCAAGAATACCTCGCTCATTCATCAATTACAAAGGTATTATCACTTAATCTCAATGGATGAATACAGACTCATGAAAGGTATCTTTATTAAAACATGTTCGGGTCTACAACCCAGCACCTGCCTATTTAACAGTCACATGCTGTTCATTAAGTCTCCCTTTTTTTCTGTCACTCATATCTCAGTCTGGCCATAACTCAGCTGGAGAGACGAGTGATAACTGCACCATCATGGGCCTTTTCAATTAGTTTCTGAGATGAAAAAATATATAATCCTCATCCTTCATGCCAGGATGCTTTTCCAGATTACAACACAGTCTGTATTAAATCATGAAATTTATGAACAAGAAGTCTGTGCTTGCATAGCGTTGCCAGTTATATTGTCTGGCTCTGGGCATTGATAAGTACTCATGTACAAGCATAACAAAAACAATTAGGGGTTGGTGTATTGTTACGCTCTACTTACTGTGGTCTTTTATTCTAAGCATCAACTAGCCTAATAAAAATGACTCATAGCACCTCGAGTCCTGTGGCAAATGCAAAACATTTGAAAAAAAAGTAGGATCCTGTAGGATGTTTTATTATAAAGATTCACTGCCCTTAGCTAGAGGTAAAGGAACTTGAATGTTGTGCAAAGAACAGAGCTTTGTTATGTAAGAAGCTGATTATTACGCCACAAAGTGTGCATGGTTGGGAAAGACATTTCAGACATACGTGGATTCATTAAAATAACACCAATTTAGAGGGGAAGGAATTGAATGTCATGATGTATCCGCTGGTGCTCAATTCATTGTGTTTGCAGTGTACTCACCCTATCTTGCACATATTGGCATAACAGTGGTTGATTAAACTTTCAAAGTTTCTTCTGGGGAAGGGGTGGGGGGGTGGCAGGAGAGTTGAGATGGTTCCTTTAACCTCAAGATTCAGGTAAAAGGGACGTCTGGATGTTTGTGTTTGTTCTACAAACACGATACTTGTTGCCGTTTGGCCTCCTGTTTGCTTACCGTCTTCTGCGGGAGTAATGCAAGATATTCAGTGTGATCCTTCCTCCCGACAATGTGCATTGTAAAGTAACACCCAAATCACGGAGTAACGACGAGCTCATTACAACTACCGAACTTGCCAGAGGAGCGTCACTTTGTTTCAGTATCAGGGTAATCCACTGACAGTTGTCTGGGAACTCAGATACACTGCAAATGAGAACTTTTAATGAACTCTGCGTACGTTTAATATTTCCAATTTGTCAAAATGTAAAGATGTAGAGGGTAAAATAAATAGCGGTGTTTTAGGGTCCAGTCAAAGTTCGGATCGTCGGCAGCTCACTAAATGCTCAAAAAAAATGCCAAGAGCCAAAAATGCAGACGGGGACCAGGAACTTACAAGACATTCAACAGTCAACAATGACGCAGACAAAGGACAAAAGACACACAGGGCTTGAATACACAGGGAAGGTGCAGGTGATTGGACACAGGTGGAAACAATCAGACAATCACAGGACAAGGTAGGAAGTAAAGTTACCCAGGCACACAAGGGGAAGGAAACTACAAAATAAAACAGGAAACAAACCCACACCGTGACAGTACCCCCCCCCCACCCCCCCTCAAGGGATGGATCCAAGATGGAAGATCATGCGGGCGGGGAGCCTCCACGGGTTAGCCGGGTTCTTCCTCCGTCCTGATCTTCCTCCGGGCTGCCCGACCCCCTGCATCCAGCGCCCTCGAGCCCGGCTCCCCGTGACCTGTCACCGCCAGATGCAGGGGGTTGGGCATTCTCAAAGGGAAGATCAGGCGGCCGGGAGCTTCCGGCGGCCGTCTCGGTGGGTGGACAGGGAGCCTGGCTCTTAGTCGCCTGCGGACAGGTGACAGGTAGCCGGGCTCCTCAGACACTCGGCTGCTGGTTTACTATGAGATGGCTATGACGGGCGCCGGGTGCTGGTCACGAGGAGAATGGTCACGAATGGGCCCACTGCTGGGTCACGGTGAGACGG